ATAATTCATATTTGTGAGGTATTTATAAGATCGATTTTCACAGGCGTGCAACATATTTAAATTGGGGGGGGGGGGCACCATATTTGCTATGTTAATTGTGACAATTGAAAACTCAAACAGCAATTTTCCATAATAGTTATACACAAGTATATATTTCCCATTCAAAGGGGTGCTACGCTACCGGCTCAAAACGGGGGGGGACGTGCCCCCAGTGTTCTTCTCCTGTTACACCGCCCATATATATTTTTACATATGCTTACAGCTCTTGGTCTAATATTTGAATACACATTAAATTCTTTACAAGTAATTCAGTGTTCTGTTTACATAATGTTTACATGAAAAAATTACGTTTCTCGACGGGGAATGAAATAATGTTTTTGTTTTCTAACAAAAGAATTCTGCAACTAACACAGAATCTTTCCTTCTATGAAAATGAGGACTAATTATAAAGTAATAAGTTGTTTTACTTTATCATTTAGTTTATATTGTTATTTGAAATATTGTGTTTTAATGATTCAAGTTTCATTTAAATTACTTATGATTCGTTTTAGTTTTTATGTATGATGTTTTAATTTTATACTCGTTGACTTGTTATGTTATTTAACTGAAACTTTATTTTTTAATTCTCTTTATATCTAAGCTATTTTATTAGTTTAATGTTTTATCTAGCATGTCACGTTTAATTTCCAAGTTTTATTTATTTGCTTAATTTTTCACGTTTCTTTTAATTTATCTTTTATGGAAATTGAATTTTATTATTTATTATAATTCTAATTTCTACAGTTTCTCGGGAATTAAAATTTTATACTTTAAATATGGCTAATGCACCACTAATGTTGCAGTTTTGATTTACGGAGGAGATGGTATGACTTGAAATACTATTCATCATAGAAAAATAAACACCTTCTAATTCTTACCCATGCTGCCCCCCAGTGGCACAGCGGTATGTCTGCGGACTTACAACGCTAGAATCCGGGTTTCGATACCCGTGGTGGGCAGAGCACAGATAGCTCATTGTGTAGCTTTTTGCTTAATTACAAACAATCTTACCCATGCTACTGTTTATATAGAGAACCCTTCTTAATAAACCCATCAGACCTGAAGGATTTAACATAGAACCCAAAACCTTTCTAATGGACATGTAGGTTATCCACAAAATTTGTATATTACATGATATATTTTCTTTCATATTGTGCTACAAATAATCTTAGATTTGAATGTCAGTCTGCGAGAATAAAGAAGTACATGTATATTAATAGTTAAAATAAGTAATTCAATTTAATATTTAAAGTCTATTTGATGGTTTTTTCTTCTCTGTCCCCCGGTGGGACAGGAGTAAGTCTTCGGGTTTACAACGCTAGAATCAGGGGTTCGATTCCCCTTGTGGACACAGCATGCTATGGATTTGCTATAAGAAAACGTTTATTTTCTCTATTCACCAAACTAGTTCTCATATTTCTAAAATATTGTGTCGGTGTTTTTCACTTGCCATCTGCTCTTCAGTATCAAAACACACTACTTTTACCATCCATCTCAATAAATTTCCTGCAGCAAATTGATAACTTTAGCTGACTTTTGGCTCATCCAATTTGTTCTGTTTAACTGGACTAGCATTCTTAACGTTTTCCTAATCGATTACCAGAATGACATTTTTCTTTTTAATGAAGAAAACTTAAAAAATACTGACTTTAATGAACACGTCATCTAATGTACGTTGTAACTCCAACACCTGTAAACGGTTTACACGCCGAAAGCTGGTGAAATATCGAAAACCAATAGGCCTAAAGTTGTTATAAAAACAAGCTAACTACAGATTTTTTACCCCAACGTACCTCTTAATTTGTCCACCGCAGCTCGAAATGAGAGGTGTTTAATTAAATTACATGTCTGATTTCGAGCCACAGTGGGCAAATTAAGAGGAATATGAAAAACAAAGAAAGAAAAAAAAATCTGCTGTTAACTTGTTTTTATAACAGTCGTCTCCAAGACACGTGACCAATAACGGCCCTCTTTCAAATCTCATTCTCAACCTGATGATGACCTAAGGAGGTCGAAACGTTGTTGTAAATAAAAGTTTTCTATACCCATATCAGCCGTCTCTACTATATATACATATATTTACTCCAAGTGGGTTCCTCGTCATCATGACTGATTTCTTACCTTAGCTGAAATACAGTTATTCCAGGTTCCAGAAGCAGTAGCTTGCTGCCCCCAAGAGCGCACTGCAGCCTTCCGAAAGAGCAGGGGCCGTGTAACTGGTATGTACGTCGCTATTATTACAGTCCATACTATAATCAGTGCCTACAGTTTACTTACGGAGGATGTGGAGGAAATGAAAACAACTTTGACACCAAGAAAGATTGTGAGGATTATTGTACGAAGGAAACGATCACACCAGGTATTTTTGATTTGATTTTATAATAAGTATTTTTGTTTTTTATGTTTTGATCCTTTAGTTCAGCATACTGGAGTATTAACGCCATTGTGGTGAGGCTAAGCAACCGCTAACTCCGGGAAATTTTATCAATCATCCAACAATACTTTAGTGCTAATTAAGAAACAAATTAAATCGCTTCGGCAAATAACAAACAGAAATAAGAAAGGTAAAATATTACATCAGGGGTGTAAACGTCCATTAGCTCCAAACCAGGCAATACCAAAGGATGGGTCCCTAGAAGGGTTGTTGTTGGTCCCACTATGAATTTTAGTCACTGGAACACATGATTGTCCGGCATGTACCAGCTACAAAAAATCCTTTACTAATCTTATCAAGGTGTTATTAAAATATATACTGAAGAAGAAGTACGCGTACGAAACCATAATTTTATTATTGTAATCCAGAGAAAGAACTATATTATAGCGAGTATGAAATAGTCCGTAGAGGTGTGAAATGTTCATGTGATGTTGTCACTAGAACCTTAGTCATCAGTGTTATCAGAACTGCTACTCCACTCCTTCGCGTCATTGATGTGATCTTGAAAGTGACGGTGGACAGATGTCACGTTTTCCATACTTAGATATGTCTGTTGGTCAGTCTTGGAAAACAAAGAGTATGAATATTATAAGGCCTAGTATTATGAATGTCAGAGTATATATAATGCCACAACAAGGTCCATATTGTTTTCATATATGATATGTCTTTTGTCCTATTAAAATAATAACAAATATAATTACATAATCAGTGCTAAACTTAAAATAAAATAAACACCCCAAAATTCAAATTTGTAAATGAAGTAAAGTATAGGTAATTATTACAATTCACGTGCTTACCCTGGTTCACACCATACAATTAGTTGTTTATGAAAATTAGTGATATATATATATATATATAACAAATAAACAAACAAAAAGTCACTACTACGTTCTGTCGTATCCCAGCTGGCCTGATGAGTTCAGGTATTGGACGAAAGACCTCATCGGTACAGATAGTGTGCTTGACGTATTATAACATATTCTCCCTTGCTTTCGCTCATGGGTTCTTGATGTTCCAGTAAAGACAGTTTGCGTATAAATGATTGATTTTTGGAGGAAATTGAAATAATATACCCACAATGTGCACTCTGTATCGACAGACACATTGTTCAAATCTTCATACTGACTTGCTGGCAGTTAGAGCTGTAGCGGGACTACCGAAAGCTTCTTTGTTTGAAGTTAAGCACAAAGCAACACAATGGGCTATCTGTACTCTGCCCACCACAGGTATCGAAACCCGGATTCTAGCATTGTACTACCGAAAGCACTACTTACTGTTTCTTTTCTCAGGACATTATCGTTCACTGATTTTAAAGCCCAAAAATGCCCTTATGTAGAACCATCCTTTACGCTATCACTGCTAATCCTGAGAAAATCATAACAGTTCTAATGCAAATAAAGTAATACGTCACCAAAGCTGGAAACTATAATATCTGTAATGACAATAATAAGGGGGCTAGCTTGTAATTCATTCGGTTTCAGATGTTATAAGATATTAAGTTGTATGATACTTTTATTTTCAAAAAAATAAAAATAAATAAACACTAAATATTGTGGACTTTACTTTCACCTGGTCAGTGGTTTATGTGTTGTGGAGTCACTAAGACGTTAATGAATTTTCTTTCAGTTCACAAGACTTTATGAAACCCCGAGTTGAAACAATACAATTAGACTTCTGAGAGAATTTGTGAATATTTACACGTATATCTATATAATTACTTCTTTACTGCGAAGATTTATAAAAAGATAATTAAGAAAGAGGCTGGTAAAATGTTAATACAATGCTCATCAAACTTGTGGTACCATTTGTCATGCCTTGTTTGTTTTGAATTTGTTTCGAATTTCGCGCAAAGCTACACGAGGGCTATCTGCGCTAGCCGTCCCTACTAATTTAGCAGTGTAAGACTAGAGGGAAGGCAGCTAGTCATCATCACCCACCGCCAACTCTTGGGCTACTCTTTTATCAACGAGTAGTGGGATTGACCGTCACATTATAACGCCCCCACGGCTGAAAGGGCGAGCATGTTTGGTGTGACGGGGATTCGAACCCGCGACCCTCAGATTGCGCCCTAACCACCTGGCCATGCCGGGCCTATTGTCATGCCTTACATGTGTAGCACACTTATACAGTTATAAGATATTTCGAACAGTTGTTACCAATCAAGGAATATGAGGTCAAAGTAGGTTTGGAAACTTTAATGGACTGCATTTAATGGAGTGAAAAAGGACGACGTTTCGGCTTCTATACTAAAGAAGGCCTCTATTCACTCAACAGGCTGTTGCAGTCCATTAAAGGTCTCAAATAGACAATGCCTAAAGTTCCACTGAAACAACACGGGGTCAAAGACCTGTAGGTGTCCATTGTAGGAATTGATATAACTACATAATCAATTCAACATCTTATTTTCCGCGTGTCACTATGATGATTCTATCCAATGCAATCTCCGTAAAATATTGATAATAAAGAATGAGTTTCTAGCATATAACGACAAGCTGGTCTGAGAAAAAAACAAAACATTCTTAGTGGATCGTTACTTAAAAAAAAACAAACAATGAAAGTTCTTGTATTCGAAGTAACTAGTTTAGTTAGCCACGAGCGGTGTTCCCATAATTTTACTTTATGTGTCCTTTATTTATAGATTTTAGTATATGATCTTTGACCTTCTTTTACGTTTCCTAAATAAACCACTGGTTACGTGTTTTATATCAGAAAGGGACGTCTGTTCGCAACCAAAGGACAGTGGGCCCTGCTATGCATCCATCCCACGGTATTACTACGACCAAAGTCAACAGAGGTGCGTATCCTTTATATATGGTGGTTGCAGAGGGAACGACAATAACTTCGGTACCGTTGAAGAATGTGAAAGCCGATGTGTAAGACAAGGTATTATCACATTTCACTCAAGAGTGGTCAGTTGCATTACTTAAAATGTGATGACGTGTATAAGAGATTCATTTAATGTTTACCCTAAATTATGTATGAAATTTTAGGAAACAAAGGAATAGCGATAGATAAAAATTACATAGATGTTTAACTGAACTTTTAATTATTAATAACACAATCTAAACTCATGCCTAGTTCTTTGCTTTAGACTGAAGATGTAGTAGTGGCAGTACAGTCATCTTCTGGTTAAGTTTGTTTGTAGTTAAGCACAAAGCTACACAATGGGCTATCTGTGCTCTGCCCAACACGGGTATCGAAACCCGGATTCTAGTGTTGTAAGTCCGTTGACATACCGCTGTGCCACTGGGAGCCTTCTGGTTAAGAGCAGGTTTTCTTAGCAAGAGTTTCGTTCTAGCATTCTTAGTGGAGTGGAATTCTTCTCTGGAATGTACAATGTTTGTTGAATCTCGCGCAAATCTACTCGAGGGCTATCTGCGCTGACCATCCCTAATTTTGAAGTGATAGACTAGAGGAAAGGTAGCTAGTCAACATCACCCACCGTCAACTCTTGGGCTACTGTTTTACCAACGAATAGTGGGAATGACCGTGAGCTGGAAGGACTCGAATTGAGCGTCATAACCACCAGGTGATGCCAGCTCTGAATGAAAGGATAACCGGAAAAACTGGTAGTAGACACAACATCACATTCGTTTATACAGTGGTTGGTAATACTACTGGTGTTGTAGGTTTATACAATGGTTGGTCATAATACTGGTGTTGTAGGTTTAGATAATGGCTGGTGATACAACTGGTGTTGTAGGTTTAGATAATGGCTGGTGATACTACTGGTGTTGTAGGTTTATACAATGGTTGGTCATAATACTGGTGTTGTAGGTTTAGATAATGGCTGGTGATACAACTGGTGTTGTAGGTTTAGATAATGGCTGGTGATACTCTGGTGTAGGTTTATACAGTGGTTGGTAATACTACTGGTGTTGTAGGTTTAGATAATGGCTGGTCATACTACTG